CCCTCTCTCTCTCTCCCTTTTCATCTCCCTCTCCATCCCTCCCTCCCTCCCCTCTCTCCCTCTCCTCTCTCCTCCTCTCTATCTCTCTCTCTCTCTCTCTCTCTCTCTCCTCTCCTCCCTCCCTCCCTCCCTCGTCTCTTCCTCTCTCATCTCTCTCTCTCCTCTCTCTCTCTGTCTCTCTCTCCACTCTCATCTATCCTCTATCTCTCAAAAATGGTGGTCCCGGGGCCGCGTGCGTGAGCGTGCGAGCCGCAGGAGTGCGTGGCGCGTCTTGCCGGCCGCAGCAGCAGCGCCAGTATTGATTCCTGCGCAGCCCGCAGTCCCGCGGCTTAGGCCCGCATCGCCGAGAATCTGAAATAAACGCCTTTCGATTGGGCTTTGGCCGAGGGTACGTGCCGTCGGGGTTCGATTTTATACCCTCGGCGTCGCCCGTGGGAGCTGTGGGGTGCGTCGCTGCCTCTGCCGGAGGTCTGTCCTCGGGGGGGAAGGGGGAGGGGGAGGAAGAAGCGCCCTGGAAAACCCTGTGCGAGGCCGAGGATGCCGGAGGATGGGGAGGAGGAGGGGGAGGAGGAGGGTGGGGGGGAAGTGGGTGGATAGTCTTGCGTCGCTCTGGCGAGTAGCGCAGTGTCCGACCCGACCTCGCGTGGCTCGCATCGGAGCCGAGGAGGACGCGTCGCTGTCGTGGAAAAAAGGCCTCGTGAGGTTTTCTTATTTTTTTATTTCTCTCTCTCGGTTCCTTGTTTTTTTTTTTTTTTAGGCCTGGTAGAGACCTCTCTGTCGCGTGTTTCCAGTGCCGGGGGAGGGAGGGGGGCGTGTTGGGGGAGGGGGGGAGTCGTTCCTCCAGCGTCAACAAGTGATAAAAAAGAGTCGTTCCCTTTCGAAGCTTATCTCGTGATAGAGAAGAGCCACGACGTCGACGACGACCAGCCACTCGCGAGCTCGCCCCGACCACGTCCTGGGCCCTCCTCCTCGCCTCCCCCCTCCCCTCCTCTTCCCCCTCCTCTTCCTTCTTTCCTCTTCCTCCTCTGCTCCTCCTCCCCTCCTCCTCTCCTCCACCTCCTCCCCTCTCTTCGACCCTCCTTCTCCCCCCCACTCTTCCTCCTCCACCTCCTCCACCTAACCCACTCTTTCCTTCCACCTCCTCTCTTCCCCTCCACCTCCTCTTCTCTTCCTCACCTAACCCCACTCTCTCCACCTCCTCCTCCCCCTCCCCCTCCTCTTCCCTCCTCCTACACATCCACCTCCTCCCTTCCTCCCTTTCCTCCCTCCTTCTCCTCTTCCTCCACCTCCTCTTCCTTCCTCCTCCTTTGCTCCCCTCCCCTCCTCCTCCCTCCTCCTCCTCTTCCTCCTCCTCCCTCCTCCATCCTCCCCTGGCTCCTACCTCCTCGCACCCCTCTCTTCCTCCTCCTCACCTCCACATCCCTCCTACTCTCCTCCTCTTCCTCCCCCTCCCCTCTTTCTCGCTCTCCACCTAACCCCACAATTTCTTCCCCCTCCTCACTCTCTCCTCTTCCTCCCCCTAATCATGCCTCTCTCCTCCCCCTCCTCCCCCTCCTCCCCCTTCCTCAACCCCTCCTCCTACTCCTCCCCCCCTCCTTCTCTCCTCCTCCTCCCCCTCTCTACCACTCCCCTCTTCCTCCACCTCCCTCCACCTCTTACCTCCTCCTCGCTCCCCCTCCCCTTCCTCTCCTCCTCCTCCTCCCACTAACCCCCTCCTACACCTCCTCCACCTCCACCTCATCCCCCCCCGCCCGGTGACGAGTGGATGGCGTCCCCGAACTCGCTTCGTAAAACCGACGTTGCGAGTGGAACAACAGAAGCGCAGCAGCGGCAAGAACACGTGGTGGAGTTCCCTAAATTCCCGATCCACCGCGGGTCGAGGTGGACGGAACGTGGGCAGGTCTTCCACCTCGAAAGAAAAAGAAAAAAAGAAAATGGATCCTAGCCTCGAAAGCCTAGGCCCATTTTTTTTTTTTTTTTTTTTTTTTTATTCTGTTTTGGGATTTCAATACTTCCTTTTCCTCTCTTCTCTCTCTCTCTCTCTCTCCTCTCTCTCTCTCTCTCTCTCTCTCTCGTCTTCTCTCTCTCTCTTTCTCTCTTTCTCTCTTTCTTTCTTTCTCCTCTCTCTCTCTCTCTTCTCATCTCTCTCTCTCTCTCTCTCTCTCTCTCTTCTCTCTCTCTCTCTCTCTCTCTCTCTCTCTCTCTCTCTCTCTCTCTCTCCTCTCTCTCTCTCTCTCTCTCTCTCTCTCTCTCTCTCTCTCTCTTCCCCTCTTCCCTCTCCTTCCCCTCCCTCCCTCCTCTCTCTCTCTCTCTCTCTCTCTCTCTCTCTCTCTCTCTCTCTCTCTCTCTCTCTCTCTCTCTCTCTCTCTCTCTCTCTCTCTCTCTCTCTCTCTCTCTCTCTCTCTCTCTCTCTCTCTCTCTCTCTCTCTCTCTCTCTCCCTCCCCTCTCCCTCCCTCCCTCCCTCCTCCCTCCCTCCCTCCCTCCCTCCCTCCCTCCCCCTCTCTGTTCTCTCGTGCTCGAAAGAACGGCCCGGGCTGGGGGAGGGGTGGAGGGGGGGCACGTCACATGCGAGTTAGTTGCGTTCGTTGTTAATTGTTCGGATACGTGGGATGGCTTCGCTTAAGTGTATTTGTATTATTATTATTATTATTATTAACATCTTCATCTTCATGTTCATCTTTTTTCCCATCATCATCTTTTTTTAATTCAGTATACTCTTATTATCATGATCATTAATATTATTATTCATGATTATTATCATTACTATTATTGTTGTTGTTGTAATTTATTTATTATATTATTATTATTATTATTATTACTGTAAGTGTTATCATTATTGTTATATTACTATTTTTTTATCATATATTGTTGTCTTTGTCATTGTATTTTCTGCCATTGTCATTATTATTATTCAATTATTATTATTATAATCATCATCATCATTCATTTTCATTATTATTCATTCAGTCATCATCAATTTAATACTATTGTAATTATCATTATTTTTATAATTTTAATCGTTATTATTATTATTATTATTATAATCATTAGGATCATCATTACCATTATCATCGCCATAATCATCATAAACAGCATCATCTTAATATATATCTTAATAACATTATCATAATCACCACATCACATAATCATCTCATCACCATCATAATCATCATCATAATCTCAATCACCATCATAATCATCATCAATCAGCATTAATCATCATAATCTTGTCAATCATTATTCATATATCACATCATTACCATCATAATCATCATCAGCAGCAGCATCAGCCATAATCATTCATAATCTTGTCATCATTATCATTATCATAATCACCATTCATAATCATCACCATCATAATCATCATCAAGCAGCAGCCATAATCATCAAATTCTTGTCATCGTTATCATTATCATCATCATAATCATATCACCATCATAATCATCATCATAATCAGCATCAACATCAGCATAATCATCATAATCTTGTCATCATAGTCATCATCATCACCACCATCATCACCACCATAACACATCACCATCATCATCATCATCACCATCATAGTCATCATCATCAGCAGCAGCATAATCAGCATAATCTTGCCATCTATCATCATCATCACCACCACCATCCATCACCATAAATTAAACGCTTTCATTCACCATCATAATCATCATCATTCATCAGCAGCAGCATAATCATCATCCACCATCAAATCATCATAATCATCATGCACCCATCAATCACATATCATCAGATCATCATATCTTGTCATCATTATCATCATCACCACCACCACCATCATCACATAATTAAACGCTTTCATCACCATCATAATCATCATCATCATCAGCATAATCATCATCCCATCATAATCATAATCATCACCATCATAATCATCATCATCATCAGCAGCAGCATAATCATCATGATCATTATCATAATCATCATCATCACCACCACCATCATCACCACCATCATCACCATAATTAAACGCTTTCATCACCATCGCCAGCCTACCGCGTGCACCATCATTAGTCACTCAGTCAACATTGTCTTGCATATGCAAATTATCTTTATTTTTTTCTGATTTTCTCTTATTTATATTTATTTATTCTCTTATTTATTTATCTTTATTTATTTTTCTAATCTTCTCTTTTATTGTATTTGGAAAAAAAGGATATAGGGAATTTAGATGAATTCGATACAGTGAGAAATTGTTCGATAAAATGTGAGAAAGAGATTTGTGAAAGGAAAAGGAGAAATAAACATAAAATAGGATAAAAAGGGAATAAGGCTAAGTTCTCTCCAGGACGGTACGTGAGATAGAAATTAGTGAAAAGGAAAGAAAACGAAAAAGAGATTGAAAAAGAAAGGAGAAGAAAAGAAAAAATCCGATATTCGACGATACGTGAACTAGAAACCAGTGAACGAAAGAAAGGAAAGAGAGAAAGAAAAAAAAGAGGAAGGAAAAGGAAGAAAAAAAACATACAGATATTGCATTGAAATAGAAACCAGTGAGGGAAAAGAAAAAAAAAAAAAAAAAAAAAAAAATGACATTCGATACTATGAATTAGAAACCAGTGAACAAAGAAAGAAAAAAGAAAGAAAAGAAAGAAAAAAAACACGACACAGGACGCTGCATGAAATAGAAACCAGTGAGGGAAAAGAAAAGAAAAAACAACACTGAATGAAATAGAAATCAGTGTGAAGAGAAAGAAAAAAACTACATACCATAGAAACCAATTCATAAAAACCAACAAAAGCCTAAATAAATTAAAAAGAAAAGATAAAATAAAATAAAATAAAAGCCAGACAGAAAACCAACAAAAGCCTAAATAGATTAAAAAGAAAAAAAATAAAAAAAAAAAAAGCCAGACAGAAAACCAACAAAAGCCTAAATTGATTAAAAAATAATAATAATAAATAAAAGCCAGACAGAAAACCAACAAAAGCCTAAATAGATAAATAAAAAAAAAAAATAAAATAAAAGCCAGGCAGAAAACCAACAAAAAGCCTAAAAAAAAAAAAAAAATTAATTAAATAAAATAAAATCCAGAGCCAAATTTTCCCACGGTGCCTAGCCCGACCGCGGACATAGCCGGGCGGAGGGTGCCACGTGGGCGGACTGCAGGTGCGCCGCCGCCCGCGACCCGCGCCATGAAGACCACACGCCCACGATCGCCCTCCCACGCGGCCAAGAACAAGACGCCCGAGGACCGCGTGTGGGAGTTCGGGTGCGTGCTGGGCGAGCGGAATGGGCGTCTGCTCTGCCGCCCATGCAACCTGGCCCTCGACCACACCCGCAGGTCCACCATCGTCGAGCATCTCAGGTGGAGATCGAGGCCCCCCGCGGCTCGGGTTTTTTATTGCGTCATCTTCATCGTCATCATTCATCGTCTTCATCATCTTCATCGCCATCTTCGTCTTCGTCTTCGTCTTTATCATCTTCATCTTCATCATCAATCATCATCATCATCATCATCATCATCACCATCATCATCATTCCAT